ACACATTCTTATAAATGGCTAATTTTAGGATAATAGACACAGCAGACAGATGACCAGGAAGGCATTTAATTAGATTGAGTAGACTTTAAAAATGGTTTTTCCCTGTTGGGATCTAGATGGAATATTGCGTGTTTACACTAAAGCAATAACATTTTACAGTTGTAACAGCCCTTGGTGAAAGTGTGCTATGAATTTTCTTAGAAGCCAAAAAAATAAAAATAAAAAAAAAGGATATACAAAACGAAAATGTTTTCTGGATGTTTATGAAAGGTTGTATTAATTATTCCATCTAGTCTTCACAGAAATGTTTTCTTGTCTCCAACAAAGAATGGCTCGCACTCAGCCAATGTACCTCATTATTTTGGCTTTACTGGCAATTAAAGAGAATGTCTGATGCACAGGTGACATGGCGACATGGGACATGGCAGACACCCTCCCACTGGGAGTTTCAGTTCGGCAGGGGTAAGGGCCAAAGGGTTGCCTCAGCAATGGCTCCTCTTAAAAGGCTAAAGGCATTTCCCCCACAGAGAGGTGGTGCAGCAGGCGGCCACTGCTCCTGGACCAGCTTGGGCACTTCGGTTTAAGGGGTTTTCACAAACTGGAGTGTGGATTGGGGATGGGGGCCGACGAGGGCAGACGGTCTGGACCCTGCCTCAGTGGTGGGGACTGGGGCTGTCCACTCAAAGAAAAGAAGTGTTGGGTCACACAGTAGTCACCCAGAAATAGAAGCCTTGCGGGGGGTTACTGTGAGTGAATGGTGGCCAGTGGGCGGTCATCCATCCCGAAGCACGTTTGGGATAAAGAATCTCCTACGGGGGGAAGCAAATTCGGTAGAGTTAGGCTTTTGCTTGCAGATCGGAGTTCTTCACTGGGTTGATTCAGTGCCCCTCATTCTGGCAGCAGGCGTGGATATCTTTCGTTCCCACCCTGCCACTTCTCCTTCTCTTGGGTTTGTGGGATTCCTGGTAAACTGGACAAGCAGGAATTAGCAGGCAGTAAACGCCTTGATTGGGTGAGAGGCGAGCAATGACTCCGCCCCCAGCCCGCGTGACCCTTTGATGATCCTCATGGAGCCCCTGGCTGATGGGGGGGATGAGTGGTTCTCACCCAGGAAGGGCTTTTATTCTCATATCTTGGCTTTGATGACATTTGCTCCCTTCCACAGCCCCTTGACCTTTTGCAGACCACGTCCCTAGGACCCCAGGCCTGCGATCTACTTTTGAACCATACTATCAGCTAAGCCAAAATTCAGCCCCTGGGCCAGTGTTTTCAAATAGGTCCCCACAGAGCTCTGGGGTCCCCAGGAGGAGCCTCAGGGCCATGAAGGGGGAGCGAGAGACTGAATGGGCATGGCTTCGGATCCTGCGGCCCCTCCCCATTGAATCCCCAGAACTTCCCTGACGTGGGTTGTCTACAGGGCTATAGGATTCTGCGTGAGGTTTTGTTTGAGAGTAAAAAGGGCCCCTCTCCTAAAGGAAGTAACAAAAGCTTGAGAGGCTGTGTAGCCCAGGGATTAAGAACATGGATAGCAGTTTGAATTCTGGCTCCCCTACTTCTTAGCTAAGTGACTGCTCTGTGCCTCAGTTTGTCTTTAAAATGGGGATGATAATAGTCCTGTCCTCACAGGTTGTTGTGAGGGTTGGATGAGTTACCGCACCCAGAAAGCACTGACTGAGGGCTGATTGTCACTTTCACCATTGTTCCATGTGACGGGCCATTGTGGGGCCCTAAGGGGGGAGCAATCTCATGATTAAATCTGTTTTTAAAAAATCTTTCCCTGACAGTATGTTGGAAAGTGGTCACAGTCTTCTCTGTGGAAAAGGGCTTGAAGATCAGGCAACCTCTTGGCTATTGGGGAGCCTCAGGGGAGCAGGAATTGGGGGAACACTCATCTCATCTCAGGTACTGAAGCTCTGGATGTTCGGGAAGAGAGGTGAGCTTGCGGGACCGCCGTGACTATGAGGTGTTTGGATTGCTGGTTCAGGTGGCCATCTGGGGTGGTGGACCCCCAGATCTGGAGCAGAACAGAGGTTGCACAGATAGCTGTAGGGATTATCAGGCTGTAGTAACTGAAGTTGTGAGAATGAATGAGGTCAGCAAGGGAAAAGGTGAAGGATGACCAAGGACTGAATCCAGCAGAATGCTGCCGGTGAGTTAGAGACACCACAGTACCCGTGGAGCCCTCAGCTTGTCCTCGTAATTGGCTGGGCACCTGCAGCTGCTATCAGGGCTGGTGCCCTCACTGAGCCAGGCAGGCCTGGGAACAAACACACAGGTGACCCTGACAGGCTCTCACCAGGGCGTCACCTCAGGTGGTCTAAAGAAGATGGGAGCCTGGTCAGAGTGCACGGAAGTAGGGCCCAGTTCAGCCTCCACAGCAGCTGGTGTGAAACAGAATCACTCACCGCAAGCCATCTGCAGTGTATTCCCCGAACACAGCCAAAATAAAATCTGCAGGGAAGTTGGGAGGATGTTAAATTAAGTAGGTGGCAGACACTATTTGATGACGCTCCATCTAAGTGACAGCTTAGCATGCAGTAGAGGTGGGATGAGCAGGTGGCTGAGGGAGAATTCAGGGTGGGGGCTGGGTTTCTACATCCAAGTGAACAGGGGCACACCCAAATCAGACCCTGTGGCTATAAACTCCCATTTCTGTGAGCCCATGGCGCCGAATCTGGTGCTGGGGACTCAGTGGGCGTGTAGCAAATGTTCACAGAAGTGGACTGAAGAGACACTCCAGGCAACATTCAAATTCCTCTTGCTTCAGTTCTCCTAGACCTGTCATGGAGGTCTTTTTGCCTGAAGTATATGAGTGAACAGTGCCTCAATTCTCTGAATTATTCTCCTAGTTAGTACCATACTTTGGATTTGCTTTTTATCCTAGAGAAGAGTTCATTGAAGGAAAATCTCTGAAAGTGCAGTGATGGGGCTCATCAAAGCCATTGTCAAGATTCATTTCCCTGAAGAGGGTGATGAAGAAAAGCCAAATAAATGTTGCATTTCTCAAACTCAAGTGTTTGGGGAGGAGTGACTGGCTCCTGGTTTCCTGGAAGCAGACGTTGAGCCCAGTTGTATTCACAGGTCATGTTGCTATCAGTGGTGTCCCTTGGTAGCATATTCTCAATAGAGAAACAGCCCATAGTTGACGATTCACGCAGGCTCTCGTCCTGGAGCCCAGTGTTGCTCCATTCTCGGCCTCCTTTCAGAAGGAAAGACAACCAGGAGTGGATTTCTCAATACTTCAGCACCACCTGTAATGGTTCATCCATAAAGGAAAATTTTATTTTAGAAAATCTGACATTGCATGTTGGAAGCAAGGAATATAGTAAATCCATGGGTTCCTCCATTCCTTCTACCATTCATTTGTTTATTTGTTAATACAAAATGCTATTGAACACCTTGTATACTCCAGGCATCAGAAATAGAAATGAATGAGGTAAAGCATCTGGAAGAACCGAGGAGCAGCAGGGTAAAATATATATGTACATATATTTGTAGTATAATGTAGTTAAGTGTAGGGCAGAGGTACTGCGTAAGTATGAATAGAATGTAAGCTCCATGAGGACAGGATCTCAGTGTCTGTCTTGTTCACTAAAGACTACAGCATACTGGTACTTGGTGCATTTTGCCAAAGGATCCTTCTATCGCATCCTTCTGTTGCTAAGATAGTCATTTGTTTGATTTTAAGCTTTTCATATTTTGTAATGATTTAAATATATATTGACCCAATAACCCAGGTGAAATAACTTTGGGGTTTTTTATGGCTGGGGGAGTGGGGGTGGGGAGGATCAGTAAGGGAAAGAGTATTGCTATAATAATTCTGAAAATTTCAGAATTAGTAGAAACTATTTACTACTTAGACCTGGAAAGAAAAAGGAGGGTTATATTAAAAAACATTCAGTAACAATTAAAACATAATAAATTACCAGACTGTCTTGGCATTTGTAATTCTTTTCAAATCAGTCCATAGTGTTGCTATATCTACATAATATAATTAAATAATGTTTAGTAATAACTTATGATGTTGCTTTTTTTTTTTAAGATTTTATTTATTTATTTGAGACAGAGAGAATGAGAGAGAGAGAGCACATGAGAGGGGGGAGGGTCAGAGGCAGAAGAAGGCTCCCTGCCGAGCAGGGAGCCCGATGCGGGACTCGATCCAGGGACTCCAGGATCATGACCTGAGCCAAAGGCAGTCGCTTAACCAACTGAGCCACCCAGGCGCCCGATGATGTTGCTTTTTATAAAGAAATGCCCTCTACAATGTTAACAAAAGCATAATTGTACCAGAGTAGAATGGTCATCACAATACTAATGATTTGTGAGTACCTCCTGGGCACCAAACTCTACTGTGGTACACTCATTTCATTTTCCCAACAACTCTGAGGTCTGTGCTATGATCACGGTTGAGGACACTGACCTCAGAAGCTAATGACTTGTCTCAAGTCACACCGATGATAAGTGGGGGATCCAAGGAATCGAGCCCAGTTTAGTGCCTGAGCCAAACTCATCATGAATGCTCTCTACTATTCTCTACAGAAGGTATTTAAAGTATTTAGCCTGTGGAAGAAGTACCTTGCATGGGTCGTGGTTTGAAGGGTCATTTTAAAAGACATCACCCTCCCTATTATGTTGAGTGAAATAAGTCAAAAAGAGAAAGACATGTATCATATGATCTCACTGATATGAGGAATTCTTAATTGCAGGAAACAAACTGAGTGTTGTTGGAGTGGGGGGGTGGGGTGGGAGAGATGGGGTGACTGGGTGATAGACACTGGGGAGGGTATGTGCTCTGGTAAGCGCTGTGAATTGTGCAAGACTGTTGAATCTCAGATCTGTACCTCTGAAACAAATAATGCAATATATGTTAAGAAAAAAAAAAGAAGAAGATAGCAGAAGGGGAAGAATGAAGCGGGGGAAATCGGAGGGGTAGACGAACCATGAGAGACGATGGACTCTGAAAAACAAACAGGGTTCTAGAGGGGAGGGGGGTGGGAGGATGGGTTAGCCTGGTGGTGGGTATTGAGGAGGGCACATTCTGCTGGAGCACTGGGTGTTGTGCACAAACAATGAATCATGGAACACTTCATCTAAAACTAATGATGTAATGTATGGGGATTAACATAAGAATAAAAAAAAATTAAAATTAAAAAAAAAAAAAGACATCACCCTCCCACCACCTTACTATTATGGTTTAAGTTTTTGTTTTTTGAGATCTACTTCATTCTCACTGTGTGCAGTCCCAGTGGGACTCTTAATCAAAGTGCCCTCTGTTCCCCAAACCAAAGGGTGACATTTAAGCTGAACTGTGCCACTTTAACCCTCTCTGGGCAACTCCCAATGGTGAACAGAATGGGTCACCCAGAATGGGAACGTGATTGTACCTGACCCACGGGGCCTGAGGAGTTGTCCAGTGGTTTTGAGCATTGAGATCATCAGAGAGCTAGGTTTCAGTCACTCAACTCTGTGAACTAACACAGCTTGCATTTAGAGCTGGTTCACAGAGTTGGTTACTGCTGGTGATAATCCAGAAATTTGAACTTATTTCTCCTTAGGGAAAGGAGGGATCAAACTTTTCCATGTGGTTCCAGCCGGACCAACTAGAAGCAATGAACTGTACACTCCTGGAGGTCGCTTTTTTGTTTTGTTTTGTTTTTGTTTTTGTTTTTTGCACTTTAAAAAAAAATGATATTTATTTATTTATTTTTATTATGTTCAGTTAGCCACTGTATAGTACATCATTAGTTTTTGATGTAGTGTTCAATGATTCATTATTTACGTGTAACACCCAGTGCTCATCACAGGGTATTAAGGAGGGCACATGGAGGTTGCTTTTGATTCAGAATTGGGGGCAAAGCTAACAATGGAAGAAGCAACCTTCAGAAGGAAATCCTGTCATTGGAGATGTTCCAGTGGAAACTGGTGTAGCAACTAATGAATCATTGAACATTATATCAAAAACTAACGATGTACTACATTGGCTATTTGAATTTAAATTAGATAAAAAAGAAATTGGTGTAGCAGAAGGGATTTCCTCATTGTGTGGGAGCTTGGACTAAAAGTCCTCAACACCCTTTTTCAGAGAGTCTATCATTCTTTATGTGTTTTCCTGATCCTCACTATACCTGAGAATGATCTAAGTGCAACTTCCCTTACCTTCCCCATGTGTTCACAGAAGTACCTTCCATCTATCAACAAATAGTGATGATATGTGACATTTATTGGGGGCTTACTTTTACCAGCCACTATTTTAAGGGCTTTCTATCTTCTAGATAGTTTAAGACTCATAATCACCGATGGGATCTGTATTATTATTATTATTCCCTTTAGTTAGATGGGGAAACTAAGGCACAGAGAAATTAAGTAAATGCCTAAGGTTACAGAACTAGTAAGTAACAAAACAAGGATTAAAAGCCAGGCAGTGTCATGCCCTTGACCTTTAAACTGTGGAGCAGATGTTGTAATGGTAAGGCTGTGTTTATTTCCAAACATAACTTGACAAAGATAATACTCATACCCACTTTGTCCACAATGGCATTAGAATCCTTACTTATTTGGGATGGGCATCACACATGATTAGCTCTGGATGGAAAATTCACCATTAGTACAAATTGATGGTCCTTGCCTAAAGATGGGGAGTGGGAGGTGAGGTTGGGGCAGTGGCTGGCTGGAGCTGATTGTGCACACGTCTTCTCAATTCTGTGTCCAGTGGCCTCATATTTACACCAAGAGAACTGGCAAATGTTATAAATATTTGTGCAATTGAAAAAAAGATTTTTCTCACAGACTAGCTATGTCATGTCTTGATCTGACCTTCAGCTATCCAAGGCAAAACACTTCCTTTTACACCTCCTCCTTGAGGCATTCCCCTCTTTCCTCTCCTCTGGACAGTCACTCCTCCTGTCAGGTGGCTGGTGGCTCACTGCCCAGTTAAGGCACATGCACAGCACCCTGAACTTGGCTTATCTCAGCAAACCTCGGAGGAGGCTCTCTCCAGAGATGGATCTTTTTATAGCCACATGGTGAAATGGGGTTTGTCACTGGGCCATGACTCAGGAGCTTTGGGTTCAATTCTGGAACTCCTGCTAATGTGCTGGGTGACCTTAGGTGAGCCAATGACCCACTGTGGATCTGTTTCCTCCTTAGCAGAGTAGAAGCATCAACACTCACCAAATATTCCAGAGTGCTTTGAGAATAAGATGTGCTCATAGAGCAGTCTACTTGTGTAAAAGTCAACTATCAGAGTCTGATTAGGAGGCTCCACCAGATGGGGTCTGGAGGTTACTTGTTGGTGTCAAGATTTGGGGCTCTAGCAAGTCCCCAAGTGATGCTAGGATTCAGGGAACAAATCTTCCAGATGTTTCTGATTCATGCTAAGTCCGAGACCGAGCAATCTAGACATTCCTCTATCTGCTGATGACTTGTGGAATTGCCAGCTGCGCTCTTCTCCCCATTTTTGCCCAGGTTTGTCCCTTTGGTTGACTGGACTCTCCCACTCCATGGATACCGCAGGTTTTATATCTTCACAATGTGGTTCAAGACCACCCTGCTACCAGCACCTTCCAGCAGCTTAGCAAGGGTTGTTTGGCTTGTCTTGGTTGGTTTCCAGGGTTCACTGTCCATGCAGCTAGGCATAGGGCAAACACAGAGATGGACTCTCCTCCTCCAGCAGATCCAGAGTCATCATTTTGGGAAGAAATTACTTTCTTGTTTTCCTTTTGAAATAGCTACTGTATTTACAAGTAAAGACTCTGTTAATTCTCTTTTCTCATCACATGAGGTCTCTTGGGATAAAGATATCTGACCTGAGAGTCAGAAGCATGGAAGGAATTTCTCCTTTAAGATCTATGGGTATATGTGTGCATGTGGACACCTGGTGCATGCTTATAAATCTGTGGGGTACGTGGTGGGATTTGAAGAGAGAGAAGAGGCCAAGACTCTCTCTTAGTAATAAGCACATCCTCCCACCTCCGAGTTCTGTAGAAAGGTCTGGTTTGGAAATTTTGGACCAAGAAAGGTTAGAGCAGGAATGTGTTGCTATGGAGATTTCCCAGCCCAGGATCCTGGATTTCATCCATGTGCTCATTTCTCAATCACCAGAGGGAAGGACCTCTCCCTGTCATTACCCAATGCTCCCAAAGAGGATTTCCAACTAGAGGGAGGCTCTCCTTTCCCCAGCTGCCAGACAAGGCATGTTGTCAAGCTTTCGGGACCCCAACAGGAGAATTACCCTCCTGTTTGGTTAGAAGCAAGTATCAGGCAAGCATGAATATTGGCTTTGGAGAGAAACTGATTAGAGTTCCAACAGGAATCCAGTGTCCTTGGCTGGCAGGCTCTTGACCTTATAAAATGCCTCTTGCTTTTCCCTAAACCACATTCACTGTCCCTCTGTACGAATTTTATTGATGATCTCCACATGCATATGCAAAGGATTTCAGGATTTAGAGGGCCATCCTTTATGTAGTGGATGCACATTAGCTCATACCCTTGCTTACTAACCATGAAATCAACCCCTTGGCCACTCTTCATTTCATGGCTTCTTCCAGGGGCAGCCTTGGCAGCAGTAACTACAGGTGGTGCAAATGAGTGAAGTGGTCCACAAAATGAGTGTCTGAGAGCATAGAAGTTTCCTTCTGCTGGGCAGCCTGGTCGATCTCTGTCGTTGCCAGCAGTTCAGCCACAAGCTATCTCTGATTGGTACATTCTAAGTTACGATGTGATAGATGGTGATGTTGTCCAAATGGAATTTGCAGATGGCCCTACAGCAGAACAGATGATGGAGACTCACTACTTGACGAAAAGTGCTCTGTCACTTTTATCAGTAGATAAAAATATGGCAGCAGCATTTTCACATGGTAGCACAAGTAGGAAATAGAGAAACCCATTACAAACTTATCATTCAGGTCTTGATACGCCAATTCACTCTTCAAATCTTTATCCGTGAAGATTCTTCACATGGTATCATTTTCTCTAAACGTTTTTACATCTTAAATATATAAATCTTCACACCGACCTCTGTGTCATTCATCATATCGTTAGGATGATGATGATGATTATGGGGTAAATTAAGGACCATAATCATAAACCACATCTAGATATTTACGAATCACTGAGGTGAAACTGCTTTATTGCTCTCTATAAAACCTTTGTCAAATTCTATTTAAATGTGTTTTAAAAAGTAATGTTCCGGTACAAACTGAGATTTCTGTAACAGTAGTTAACTGAAAACACTAGTGTCAGGAAAGAAACTGTTGTTATGGGGATCGTCATAGGTAAATTTTGGCTCTTACCAGAGCCTTACTAGTATGGTCAGAGGCAAGAGGCCAAGAAGGATGATTTTCTCCACTGAATAGAACATGAAAGGTAAAGATGAAGAGATGGTTGGGTGTGGGGGAAGCTTCTTCTGATTGATGAAGACAGCTGGGGGACTCTCCCTGCTGGCTAGGGAAGCCTGATGGGACTAAGCTCTTTCTTTCACTGTATCTGTCAGAAAAACTAGACCAGGGTGCTAAGGAAGAGATGCTAACTCCAGCCCTTGCAATGTCTTCTCTGTGCCAAGAAAATGAGACTCTGGGTTGAGTGGCAAAGATCCTGAACAACACTGGGTACAAGGAGCCAGACCAGGCCAATCTAGTTCCTCTGGCTAAGGAAGTTCAAGGCAGCAGTTATTAAAATGGAGTGAGGTCTCCAGATCCTTGAAGCCCTGGGTCTTATACATGAATTTGGGTTTCATGTTGAGATAAGCTACAAAAATATATTCTCATTAAGATTTATGAGCAGTAATAAGATAAAAACAATTATAACAGTGAAAGTTTAGTGAGAAAATTATTTAATTCTTGCTTTATACATTAATCTTTTATAATAATGTTCTTTAGAAAAGCTTGATCTTAGGGCGCCTGGGTGGCTCAGTTGGTTAAGCGACTGCCTTCGGCTCAGGTCATGATCCTGGAGTCCCGGGATCGAGTCCCGCATCGGGCTCCCTGCTCGGCAGGGAGTCTGCTTCTCCCTCTGACCCTCCCCCTCTCATGTGCTCTCTCTCATTCTCTCTCTCTCTCAAATAAATAAATAAAAATCTTTAAAAAAAAAAAAAAAAAGAAAAGCTTGATCTTAGAGAGAGAAAAAAGAATTTTGGTAGATGTTCTTGGTACTCCCACGATTATCCTCTTCCTTGGTTCAGTGCACTCACTGCCCCTGACTCTCATTTTCCCACCCCTCTCCCAGGGAGTTTGGCTACTAATTGCTCTGGGTTCAGGGGTGGCCCGTTGCTGGGGAGGTTACATCCCCAACTGCAGGGGGTGGTCAGCCTACACTAAAGACTGACTGTCAGGGGAAAGTATAAAAGGCTGGCTCCCTTGCCTAAGTGGAAGACAAGGCTGGGGTGAAGTTTATGTTCCAGAGGTCTCCACTGTGGAAGGGAGTCACATCCCTGCTCCCTAGTCCTCCCCTAGTCTGCTTCCCTCACTTCCCTATAGTTCTTCCTGGAGAACATTCTCATGATAAATACTGTGCACCAAATCCCTGCCTCGGGCTCTGCTCCAGGGCACTCTGACCCAAGACAATAACCACAGAGCAAATGGAATCTCTGTGTGTTCACTAGCCTCACAGGAAGGCACATTGCCTGGTCCCACAGTCTGTCACAGCAAACACATAACCTTTGAACCCTAACTTTATGATCAGAGTCCCATAAAATAACAGCATTGTGTTGTTTACATTTCAAAACGCTGAAATATTAGGTCATCAATGAAAAATGAGAAAAAGGGGTGCCTGGGTGGCTCAGTTGATTGAGTGTCTGCCTTTGGCTCAGGTCATGATCCTGGAGTCCCAGGACTGAGCTTTGTGTCAGGCCCCCTTCTCAGCAGGGAGTCTGCTTCTTCTTCTCCCTCTGCCCCTCCCCCTACTTGTGCTCTCTCTCTCTCTCTCACTTACTCTCTCTTTCAAATAAATAAATAAAATCTTAAAAAAAATGAAGAATAAAATCTTATTCTCTGACAAATTTTAAACTATTTCTACGGTATGGCAATAGACAATTTGAATGATTTATGGTTAAGACTAGATCATGTTTTGGGGAGACACCTTCAACTACTTCTGTTTTGTGGAGATTTATAATTCCTTTTGGTTTTGTGAAATGATTGATACCCAATACAGGTCATAATATCAATGCATTAATGACAAACCACTGTATCACATGAAGTTAAAATCTAAAGGTTCATGACCACAGAAGTCTAGAGAAAATACCAACTATTTGTATGGCTGCCAAATTGCAAGGAGAGTTAGTGAGGCATACTGGAACTGCATATTACCTGTTGATAAAACTGGCCACAGTGTTAGACCACCAAATCCCACAGGTAGCATGGCATATTCCACAAGCCCTGATACAGGCACAGGGCAGTTGGTGAACATCCCAGCCCAATGTTTGCTGTTTTGTGACCTTGATCAATTACATAATCACCAAATTCAGGTTTCTCATCTGAAAAATAGGCACAATACTGCCTGCCTTATTGGGTTATTTGGGGTTTAATATGATGTCTACAAAGTGCCTAGCACCGTGTTTGGGAGAGTGTAAGAGCCCAATGAATGGCACCTATTCATCTGAAAGAAGGGCCACACTCCAGATTTTTGAAATTCTAAGTGTATATATAATAAATTTTTAAAGTAAAAATTTTACAAAGATCACGACTGAATATGGACTCTATTATTACAAACTTTCCTTATCTTTCCCTATGTACCTTAATATATATTTGAACATAGATGTACTAACACACACATGGCACTTTACATCCTGCTTTTTTTTCCTATTCAGCATTATTTTGCACACCCATGTCTATGTTTTGGCATAGTCTATGTATATCATTTTTATATATCATCTCTGAAGGCAACACATACAGAATATCACAAGAAGCTGGAGGAGGTACTTACCCATTTTGCCACTCTTTGCCCCCCAAAAGCCCCTGAGCTCCAAGACTCACCAAACCATTAGGTCCACCGGCTAGGAGCCTTTGACTATTAGTCAGCCTGCTGTGGCCCCTCAGAGGTCTGCCCATCTGTTTCTCTTCAAAGGCCCCCAGTCCCTTCTATTTGTTTCCCCAATGCTGAGACTACTTAGTTCCTAATGACTCCTTTTGGGAAAAGGTTTTTTTGATCTATGCATTATTGACATTTGGGGTAGATAATTCTTTATTGGGGAGGGCGGATGGCCTGTGCATTGTAGGATGTTAGCAGCATCCCTAGCCTCTACCTACTAAATGCCAGTGGTACCTACCCCACAGTTATGGCAATCAATAATGTCTCTAGACATTGCCAAATGTCCCTCGGGGAGCAAAATTACCCTTGGTTGAGAACCACTGATTTAGGATCTTGCACCATAATGGAGTCCAGGCTTTGACTGCTTGCTCATCTGCAGGCCCAGGATATCACTGGCTTTGCTTCTGCCTCATCTAAAAGCTACATGATCTCTCTCCCTGGTGGTTGAGCCACCCTCATAGAAATGAAACTCTATGACTGATGTCTAGAATAGGACATGAGGTCTGGACAAAGCAGGATGATTTCTACTCAGTATAATTACCAGTAAGATAAAAGAAAGGCAATCAAGTATAATGGAAAGTCCCTTTACCTTTCCGGCTCCAGGTTATTCATCTGAAAATGGAAGTAGTACCAGAGGAGTTTGCCTAACTTTGAGGGTATGTTCATTGATTGATTCATTCATTCAACATTTATTGAGACAACAACTGTGTCTGACACACGGATGCAGAGAAATATCAGGCAAAGTTTCCAACCTCAGGGCAGAGACGAACACAGACCCTGTAAAACACAATAGTTTCATTGGCAGATGAATGGGTAAACAAAATATGGTTACATACATACAATGGAATATTATTTGACCTTAAAATAAAGGAAATTCTGACATAGGCTATAACATGGATAACCTTGAGGACATGATACTCTTTGAATAAGCCAGTCACAAAAGGACAGATACTGCATGATTCCTCTTATATAGAAGTTGTCAAATTGATAGTGCAGAAAGCAGAATCGTGTGTGGTAGGGGCTGGGGGAGCGCAGAATGGGGAGTTATTCTTGAATGGTGTTATGGACGGAATTATGTCTCCTCTCCCCAAATTCTTATCCCCAACGAGACTCTTTTAGGGATGGGGCCTTTAGGGGGATAATTAAGGTTAAATGAGGTCATAGGGTGGGCCCTAATCTGACAAGACTGGTGTCCTTTTAAGATGAGGAGGAGACAAAAAAAAGAAGAGATCCCAGAGCTTGCTCTCCCCTCCTACCCCTGCTCGCGCTCTCCCTCCTTCTCCCTCGCCCTCCTCTCCCCCTGCCCCCCCCACCACATGAACACAGAAAAGGCCATGTGAGGACACAGAAGGAGCCGTCTGCAAACCAGGAGAAAGTCCTCCCCAGACACCAACCCCGACAACCCTTGGATCTTAGACTTCATCCTGCAGAACTGGGAGAAAATAAATATCTGTCACATAATAGCCCCAGCCTGGGGTATTTTGCTATGACTTCCCTCGAAGACTAAGGCAAATGGGTACAGTTTCAGTTTGGGATGACAAAAATGTTGTAGAAACAGGTGGTGGTGCAGCAACAACAACAATGTAATTCCTTAAAGCCCCGAGGTGTACACTTAAAAGGGACCAAAATGGCCAATTGTTTATTATACAGGTTTTACCACAATGAAGAAAGCACACGCCCACCGTGGTGCCTTTTGTCAGAAAGGCCCAGGATACTCTGTGCTCTGAGAAGGGGCCCTAGCCTAGCATGGGGCGGGGGGGCTGGCAGAGGCTGCGGTGGGAAGGGAAGAGGAAGGCAAAGTGAGGGAAGATCATAGGGCCAGCAAAAGCCAAGCTACGAAGGAGGAGAGAAAGGGTGATGTGTGGCTGCTAGCTACCAGCAGTTGGATGTACTGGAGCAGGAAGAAGTCGGCGAGATGGGGAGGCGGTCAGGGGGCTAGCGAGGACTCTGCATCCCATGCTTCTCTTGTAGCACACAAGGGAAAACACACACACACACACACACAGAGGCACGCACACGGAGCCATATGAGGCTGATGGCTTTTACAGGAAGCCTGGGGCAAATCCTTCCAGGCCATGAGCCATCATTTCCTAGCATTTGTTTTGAAGGTCCAGATTTTCCTATTTGGTCACACCTGGTATGTATTAAGCTTGGAAATAAAACAGTAAGGATATCATGAGGGCATTTCGCACTTTTCTTCTAAAACTCCAAAGCTAAGGACTCAACAAATATTTATTTGGCACCTATTAGCATATCACTAGGTGGAGAAATTTTTTTTTTTTTTAAGATTTTATTTATTTATTTGACAGAGAGAGACACAGCGAGAGAGGGAACACAAGCAGGGAGAGTGGGAGAGGGAGAAGCAGGCTTCCCGCTGAGCAGGGAGCCCGATGTGGGGCTCGATTCCAGGACCCTGGGATCATGACCTGAGCCGAAGGCAGACGCTTAACGACTGAGCCACCCAGGCACTCCAGTGGAGAAATATTTTATTTTTACTCTGCCTGTCCCTAAAAACTATTTATGGTAACTCTACAAGCAAATTGAAGTGGAAGACAAGGTTTCCTGTTAGGAACAGTGCTTTTTCTCTTTGAATCCCTAGTGCCTAGCACAACGTGTGGAATATAAGAGACCCTCCATCAAAAATTCTTACAAAGAATGAATGAAAAATGTATGATCAATTCAGTGGGAGTCAGGACACAAGCATAATAAAATAATAATAAATATTATAATTATATTAATATATTATGATTATATAGATACACTGGGTGCCAAAGGAGTGATCGAATAAGAGGGGGTTTGGGCAGAAGGGGGTGGGACCAACATGATGAGTTCCGGACCCTCAAGACATCACCCTTTTTCTCCAGTGAGCCTGAGACTGATGTCACAGAAGAAGAAACAAGGTCAAAGAGGTGTGTGTCTTACACAAGAGCATACAGCTAGAATCACAGAAGGATGGCTAAATAAGAACCATGACTAGTTATAGGAAGATGACTCTGGATTAAGTTCAGAAAGTCTCAAAGTCCCTATTCTTTGCCCTCCACTTTTGCCGACTGAAGAGAGACCACGGTGGGGCCGGCACCTGGGAAGGCTTAGGGACTTAGGAAGTGGAAGGAAGGAGAGGAGGGGACACAGCGTGAGGCGGTTGGAGGAGATGGCTCACCAGAACAGCAGTGGAGACTCGCCCTGGGAATAGACCAAATCCTTAGACCAGGGCTGTCCCAGTGCCTGAGGCTTTTATGGTTGGGCCCCACCAGGTAGACGCCTAAATGCCAGGCCAAGGGCTGAAACTTCATCGTGCAGCTACAAGAGTCCATTAAGATTCAAGCCTGATGACCTGCAAAACCGTGTTAAGGGGAGACGGGCATATTAGGGAACAAAGAGAAAGGGCACAGAAGAGCTGAGGGTGAGACTGAAACGGGAGCACGTTCCTTCCCAGCCCCAACCCCCAGCGGGTCCTGAGCCAGGAGAAGCGGCCACGTGGCCGGCTCGTGCACACCCCGGGGTAGGAGTCGGTGACGCTCGTGGTGGCTAAGGCGCAGGACTGCGGAGCACACAGCCACAGCCCAGCGCTCCTGCCAACGCGGACGCTCGGACTCAACCTCTCCAGGCCGCGCGCGGAGCACGCTTTCAGGCCGCTGGCTCACGGCCTCCAGGGTGACTCAGCATTCGTTGGGCCATCCACTTCCCCTCCCCTGGGCTGGTCCCGGGCTTTGGGCGCTGCCTGGGATAACCAAGGCTGGTACCCAGGAGCTGGCCTTCCCCGGGCGCTGCCAATCCTACAGGGCCGGCTGCGCACTGCCCTGTGGTCCTCTGGCCCGGCGGCAGCGTCCCTGCAGAGCTGGGAGCCCATCCAGGGGAAGCCCTGGTTGGAACATCAGGAAGAGGCTTTGGCTTTGCTTTTCAGTAACAGCACTGCAGAGAAGACGTCGGTTTGGCCATATGGATCCCAAGGTCTCAGATGAGCCAGGGCTCAGCCTCAGCCCTAAGAGGCTGGCTGTCATTTTCTAGAGCACACCTCCAAGAGCAAACAGTTCTCAGGGGATAAAAAGTTGCGTACGGGCCCCTGCTGACTTTTCATCTGAAAACCTCCTTACTTCCTCTGTGCAATTCTCCTCTCTGATCCGGGGCATCTAAACAATGACACATTGGACCTCTGACCCCGTGCCCCTCCCCCACGTCCCCACTCCCTCTTCTCACCCAACCAGTTCTTCAACTCCAGGCTCGCACTCTCTCCTTGCCATCCACACACAGCCCTCCGGCTTCCCTCTCGTCCTCTCACGCCTGAGGCTTTGGCTGAGACCTCTGCACGCGGCACCGCGAAGCCCCTCCTCCCCAGTCCAGCGGGGCTCACCCCACCCACCTCAATCCCGGATCAATCGGTCTGCTTTTCCCTGCATTGGTTAACGCGCGGCCTCGGGGTGCGGACCAAAACCCTGGTGGTCACACATTGCCCCCACTGCCGGCAACCCTTTCCCTGTCCCTGGCCAGATCCCTTTCTAGGACTGGGGGCACCGATTGCAAATCACCGCTCCGAAGCACCCTCTAAGGTTTCCGTGGTGCGCAGCGTGCGGTCGGTGGCGGAGCTGACTGCTGCGAAGCAGGGCGTCTCACACCGTCATGCCGAGCAGGGACCAGGCACAGGGGCTGAGCTGAGGAGGCAGGGCTCCGAGCACATGCAGATCCCCTCCAGGGGCTTGCAAGCTGTTCGGGAATACTCTGAGGGCCCTGGGTTCCTGCCCCGCCCTAGGTAAGGGGAAGCAGAACAAAGGAAATAGTGTTTTGTTTCGATTCTTGTGAAACTGTTCTTATTCCCTAGATGTGAGGCCCGGGAAACTAAGAAAACACACACGATTTAAATAACGGGCTCTTTGTAACCTTGGGGGGAAAAAAACCCGACCTTTATTCTCAGAAAGAAAAAAATCTGTTCCACATAATATTTTTTTTTAAGAGGAACAAACTGGTGATTTCATCTCTAAGTCAAAAGTCAGAGGATGATCGGCCATCTCTATAAATTGGAGTCTTTGAGTGAATAAGGGTAAGGTATGCAAAAAGCCAATAATTGAGATTTCTGTATTTAACAAAGCAGGGGTGCTTTTATAATTAATATACAAAATACGACAAAAAACCAGAGGGCTCTCCATTACCTCCAAGAGTCAAGATCCCTCAGGACAGTGTTCAAGGGCCTTAAAAATTTAGGGCTAAGCTGCTTTGTTAACCATGACCTTTCCCTAAGCCTCTGTGCTCCCGCACACTCTGGAAAAGAATCACTCACTGCTTTTGTAGAATCTTTCTCTCCTTTTCTTGGCTATCTTCCCCTCACACCTTGTTGTCAGCTAGAGTTATGGGCTATGGGCTAAATATTTTTATCTCCCTGCACAAAAAATTCATGCGTTGAAGCCCTAATCCCCAATGTGATGGTATTTGAAGGCGGAGCCTTTGGGAGGTGATTAGGGTTCGATGAGGTCTTGAGGGTCCAGTGGCCTTATAAAAAGAAGAAGACAGATAAATCTTGCTCCCTTCTACCTGCATGCACTGAGGAGAGGCCACAGAGCATGAGACAAGAAGGCAGCTGTCTGCAAGCCAGGAAAAGAGGCCTCATCAAGAACCAAATCAGCTGGCACCTTGATCTGGGACTTCCCAGCCTCCTGAAATAAATGTCTGCCGTTTAAGCCACCCAGTTTGTGGTATTTTATTATAGCAGCCCGAATGGATGGAGACAGTTGGCAAACACCTACTCAGCCTTTAAGATCCAGTTCAATTACTGCTTCTCTCCAAAGCCTTCCTGAGCACTTCAAGATAAACTAGTCATTCTCCCTCCTGTGCCATCAAAGTACTCTGGTCCCAGCCCTGCTGTCGCTCCTATCTGATTCTATCAGACCTCTTGATTCGTGTCTGTCTTCCCATCAGGCTCCAAGCTCGTGGCAGGGATCAGTTCTTACTCATCTGTGTCGTTATTCCCACACCTGGCCTGTCCCTATCACTCAATAAATTAGTCTTTTGAAGAAACAGTTTCTATCTAAATCTCTGAATGTGATGATCATGGTCATCACAAACACAGCCCTCACTATTAGGAAGAAGAGGAACTGGAGACATAACCATCACTAAACAATATTTCTATAATACCCATGGGCATGGGGCTGTACGAGTTAAATGAAATAAAGGTCTAGAATGAAACACACACATAATTCCTGATATCAAGGACTTTGCAGTTAGGTCAGAGTGGCGAGGCCTCTACTGAATAAAATCATGAAATTTTGAAGTTGGAGGGACATAGTTAGAGAAATGAAACAACAAACAAACAAGTGTTCAGTTGATTTGTACTTCCTGTGGCATGGCTGCTTTTTTAGCATGGCGGCCGCAGGCCTGGGGGATGGATCTCCACTGGGAACATCTAGAGATCTTAGGGATCTAAGCTGGGTTCATGGTCAATGTTGGGGAGAATGACTCCCCTTCCCCACTGGGTTATACTCTGGCAGAGGGCCCCCCAGGTTTAATGAAAATATTTTGTGTCAATATTCTCTAACCTCAGAGCCCAGACAGGAGTTCAGTGAAGTTGGCCAGGGATGGATTCAAATAAGGGATAACATGCTACACTCAGAATCCCTTCTTCTCTCTAGCAAGGTCTTGTTCCTGGATCAAAATAGTCATGTCATTTCTTATTTCCTTATATAGCTATTTCCAGAGAATTTCTTCCTTCTCCTTCATGTCAGTTAAGGTCTTCTGAGAAGCAGGTGCCAAGTCTGGATTAAAACATGCAAAAGATTAATTGGAGGAAACACTTATGATGGAGGGGAGGAACAAGAATAGGTGGGGGGGGGGGCTTCATCTGGCAATACAGGCATGACACCTGTGAGGGGAATGAGGGAAGAAGTGTTCGAGGGGCCTCATATCTCAGAGCAGTCCTGTGGGTCCCAGCTGAGCCAGGGCTGCCCAGATGGGGACTCCCCTAGAGGGAGGGAATGGCCTGGCTCTCATACCCCTCTGGGCATCTGGCAGAAATATGGCCTGCAGTACCTGGAGGCTGTCGGTCAGCTGCACTCTCTGCAGAAGGTTCTCCTGCAGGGACATTTGAACAGGGCATCTCCCTGGCAGCTGCACCCTTGCAAAGAGAATTTTGTTGGGTTGCTTACAGAGCTGTGTCAGATTCCCGGCAGTTAACATGACTTGACTTCCACCCCAGGAGGAAGCAGGCTCTCTGTATGCCAGCCTCTGCCAGTCTTGGCCCCCAGTTCGGCAAGCATGCCCTCGTACACTTGCACTCTAGCAATGGAAAGCAATTAAGGCATCATCCAAATGGCCAACACCAAGTAGCAAGTATGAAGTTCATAGCCACAGGTATGCGAAAATAAATCAGTGATTTCTTAGGCAATTAAGTCGTTTCTCTGTCAGTTCAAAGTTTCTCTGCCAATTTGGAGTCATCTTAGTTAATTCGGGGTGTTCCTGCTCCTGACCCTCCCTGGGGTCACATGTTCTAGGTCTCACCTGCCTCCGGGCACTAGGGGAAAATGGCATGCCTGGTCCACTGCCCTGCCCTGGCTTCACTGGGGATGTTCTCCAGCAGATCATCAGCCTTTGGCTTGGTGGCCTCTCCCGTTGCTACCCATGCCCTACCCCCCCATCCTATCCCTGGAAGGTCTGTGGAACATACCACCCACCTCACAGCCACTGCCAGTCAGCAAGGAAAGGTCATTTCTGACCTGTCTTCTCTCTCTCTGCCTCTTGCAAGTTTTGCCCTGTATCGTGTTGGGTATGCAGCCAGCCTTGTGAAGGGGCCATGACCTTGGGCAAAGCAGCTCCCTTCAGCTGTGTTATTTCCAGAAGAGAGCTGGCAGCTGGTGAGACTTCCAGCGGCTGGGGGAAGAGATCCTTCATTCCTGAAAGGGAATCTGGGAGGACTCTCCTGAGCATGAGTATACTTGTGTGTCGATATCGTGAGCGCGTAGGCCATTACGATCTCCCTCACACCCCGAGGATGTGAAAATACTGAAACACGGAATTAATATTAATTAATAATTCATGTTCATTTTGATTTTCAGTTTCATTCCTCTCCCTCAACAGACTTCATGTCAAAGTGACCGCTCACTCATTCAAGGACTATTGACTCACTTGGGAGAGTTCCCAAGCCTTTCGTGGCTCTCCCTTCACTTTTTTTCCTGCTTCCCGCCCCCCCACCCACAGGCCCCCACTTGTTTGCACTTCTACCACAGGCTGTCAGGGGAAATCAAAAGTAGTGAAATGCAAACAAGTTCATTGTCAGCTCTGGCCATAGGCTCAAAATCAATGGGAAGAGTCAGCTACAGTATTGGCTAAATTGATTTGCAAGTGTTTCCAACAGCTCCTTGCCCCTGTTTCCTTGGATAAGACCTAGAGATGCCTGCCTACATCGTTAGAGTATCTTCTCAGGGTCTTCTCCCAGCATGGCTGCTACCGAGTCACAGAGAGGCTCTGCTGATCCATTACAGCTCCTTTGTCACATACCTCCCACTCTGCCCATAAACACCCCCAAAGGAGAATCCATCAATTCAGAAAACATGAAATCCAACATAGAATCCACTGTGAGATTCTTCACTAATTCCCCACAGCATCCCATGTAACGGGGTTAACTACTTCTCTGTTACGGTAACATATGGATGAGTCATAGCCCAGATAATCTTCTAGAACCCCTCAGAGCTTCGGAAGCTGGGAAACAAGCCCAGAGGACTCAGCCTCTCCTAATATAATGCTCCTTTTGTGCAGAACCACTAGGCACTGTGCCTCTGACATTTCAGCTCTAGAAATGTTCCTCTCTCCATTTCTAGTCTCCATCCCAGACACGTGAACGCCTGAAATTCCCATCTCTAGTGACTCACTCCCTTGGCTAATAACATGAGTCTTTCTCTTACTTCGCCTTTGTTTAACATGAAGATTCCCCTGGGAGGGTGCAGTTTTACGTCATTCATAGAATGTGAGAGCTAGAAGCGGTCTTAAAGACAACCGAATTCTGTGCTCGCTTCGGCAGCACATATACTAAGACAACCGAGTTCTGTGTGCTCATCAAACTGGATGCCGCAGGCATGGCAGAGCCTGGGGAAGCCACAGAATAGACAGGCACGCCTTGGAACAGGGACTTCCCTGTGCTCTGCAGAGTAACATTTTCCTCCGACTGGGGTGTAACTGAAAACATCACTTTTATATTAAAGCAAACAAGGATACAATGTGGTGCAGAATGCCAACATTTATGTGAATTTTTAAAAGATTGTCATCTGTTGGCCGATTCTTGACAACTACTGGTGTATGAATTTACTCCTAATGGCTCTTGTGGGTACTCTGTTGGAAAGTTTGGGAATATACTGCTTCAAAATGTGCACCAGCAGTTCCACTTCTGGGTATTAGAATTTTGACTCTAATTATGATTTGTCCTTTTGATGTAGGAAAGATGGTGTTAGGATTCGAAGCAGACGGCCAAGAAAGAATTCCTGAGACGTCTTTGGTGCAAAAAGGTGGTTTTATTAAAACACAGGGACAGGACCCATGGGCAGAAAGAGCTGCAATGGGATCATGAAGAGTGGCCCATTATATACTTTCAAGTTGGGAGGGGGTTAGGGATAGCGTAAATCTCTAAGGAATTTTGGAAGCAAGGTTTCCAGGACCTTGAGGGGCTAGCTATTGTTGGGAAAATGTCATTTATTACCGTCTAATAAAATCTTAGTCATGAGACCCTTCAGATGTATATCGGTGGGCCA